TACGTGTACATTTTCTTGAGCTGGTACTAATGATTTTATGATTATTTCTACTTTTTCGTTTTATTGTATTATTATTTTGTATACTTTTTATGTTAATAATAAGAAATTAAAATTTTCTTAATGTAAACTTTTTTGTGATGTGGCCCGCAGCTATCTGTGGAAACCTTAAAATGGCCCTTGATGATAACATTTTTTATTTCCGCATTTATCTTTTCTAACTTTTGGACGAATAAGGCTTTTTGAGATTGATATATTTCTGGGTTTGCTATTTCAGCAGCTAATGGACCATATTCTTCAATATCAAATCAATAAGAATTATACACCACAAATAATCTTCATGTGTAAATAAATTAAGCCTTTTCATAGAAAGTTTTTATTATTAGGGAAATAATATTACAAAGACAGTTATCAGTACCGTAGTTTGAATATCGAAGGTGCAGTTCAAATAAAAAATGCCTTATTATACCTGAAAAAATTTAGGAACCTTATTTTTTACACAATCCTAGTACATACAACTACGTCAACTGTTTATCTACCTATTAAATAGCAAAGGAATAAATCTGTAAGTATTTGCACTTGATTCGCGTACTCAACACCAAATAAATAGTTAAAAAATTACTTAGTTCAGAGAAATACTGCGTATCTGCCCCACTGACCTAAATAAAAATAGGGGTCAGTGATCTGCACTTGTTGATGTACTCATAATCCACCAACATAAAGAGGAGAAATCTGTAGATTATTGAAGAATGAAGATACCTACGGTGGGTTCGTTCATTCGTTGTACCCTGTCCTCTAATAGAGAAAATGAATACTTTCGAAATTTGCATTAGGGATTGCGTCTTTAATAAAGCAAATTTAATTTCCTCAAATTTTTCCTACTTGTAGGCAACCCGTTATACTTATTTGCATTACAGCTGCGTTTACTAAATTTCCATTTAGTTAGCTTAATCTGTTCTTTACGTATATCTGTGCTAAGCCTAAAGATGTAGCTAAAGCAGGCCTTCCACGTGCATTCATTTCATCGAACTTGGAGTGTACACTCCTGCAAACAGACCAAGTTCGAACGTGGAAGGCGTCATCGAGCAAAGTTTGCATCGTTCTTGGTGCGGAGCGAAGAGTTTTGCCAATCCTATTCTTGGCGCGGAGCGATGCTGGGCGCGCGTGTGGATGTGGTTGTCGCTCCTGGAGTTAAGACATAAGTGAGATAGATTTACGCATTGTAGTATATGAGCACAGACAACATATACTACAGACGGTCAATCTTAAGGGGAAAAAGCACGCCAAGTTTTGTTTCAAATGTCCCCTTATTTAAAAACCTGCTATCCCTCTATTTTGCTCCATCTATTAGCGCATACAACAATGTGTTGGTTCTTCTACAGATTTCTTATTTTGGAATGGTTTTGCAAATTGTCTAGGGAAAGAAGTATTGACACTTTATTGTTAGAAAGCTGTCCCACTCTCGCAAGAAATCCCCATATTTACATCTGGGCGAAGTGCTGATAATCTTTGCAGGTACACATACAAAGCAAATATCACTTCATATTCGCAATTACGTATTACTCGTTGTCTTTGGGTGCATAAGAAACGATATAACTTGCACCACTTTTCGAATTCTCGAAAAAAGTGTAATCTCCGTGTTTTTTTATATACCTACGTACTCTACTTGCCTACTTGTCTCTCCGTTTGTGGAATAAATCTTGCAATCAGCAATTTAACTTCATTTAACTTGGATAAAGAAAACCTAAACGTAAGCAATTTTCGAATGAATATTTGCCTCATCATATGTAATAAATCCCATTTGAGGTGTGCAATTATCGGTCAATTACGGCGGTAATTGCATTGTAGAAAACGAAAGAGCCCTGCGATAATTGCACATTTCATGGGAATACACTTAACAATTTGATAAGTAGGTAAGATGAGTTTGTAATGTTTATTCGGGAAATATTCCCCCGAATTACACTCGTGCATCAAAATAAACCTGATAATTTTTAGCGCATTTTCCAACGAAATTGGGTGCGCTACTGCAGCCACTTTCTCTGTCCGTCCGTCTGTCCGTGGCCTTAACTACTCCTACAGTTTTCAAGATATTTAGTTCGTTCTTTTGGCATTCGGTAGCGTATCGCTCTGGCACCTGAGTCAAAGAAAATCTTGACGATTGAACTGCGCATTCGCAGGCTGCGCAATGTTAACTTTTTTATTTATGAATATAATTTTTGTTGAAATTTTAATCACAGATACTTGTAGTAAAGGCAAATATATCGCATATAGTAAAAATCAGATGTGTGCATGCGCAGACTGCGCAATGCAAACTTTCTTATTTATGGAGATATTTCTTTTAAATTTTAACCAAAGATACTTATAGTAAAAGCAAACGTATTGCATATTGTAAATATTAGATTAATAAGCGCATGCGCAGGACGCGCAATATCAACTGCGCAGTAAAGTGTCAACTTCCTTATTTATGAAGATATTTCTTTAACATTTTAACCATATATGCGTCTAGTAATGAAAAACGTAGCGCACATAGGTATGGCATTTGGGGAAGTATTGATCAATTTATGGAAAATGCGCTGAAGTTACTCGCATTAGGGCGAAAACCTTTTTACTTGTTTATTCAAATATCTTATCAGTAAAAAACTGCGTTCGGTTATTTTCATAATTTGTTAAAAGAGCATTTTGATGAACTTGTGCAATTACCTACGAAAATTGTCACAAAGCAAAGTTTTAATAGCGATCCTCGAGATGGTTTATAGTTTTGTATCTATTACTGTCTGCCGGTTTAGTGTGTTGTCACTTCACTCAACGAAACCATGTGTATTGTATGCAAAAAATCCCCTGAATCCATAATGACAGTCTAGCTGACCGGAAACTCCGGGAACATATTGCTATACACAAGAAAACGAAGAAAAAATGGGAAAATATCGTTTTTTCGCATTTAACTTAATTAGGTATCTCGTTAACTATTCCTCTTACGGAAAAAATGAAAAGAGCGATTTTTCTATCAGATACAGTTGGTATGATTTTTATTAAACAGAGTGCCAAAGGGCCTATTATAAAGTTAGTTTCTTGTTCTATTTCTGGGGTTTCCACTAAACTAATTCCACAGTCCGTCGATTTGCAAAACTCATCGGGACAACAGACAATTGTTGGAATAGGTTGTTTTACGGTTCCACCATCCATAAAAATATTGAAAACGCTCTGGGAGTCATCCAGTTTGAAAGACAAAGCATCGAGAAGGGCGTATCAACAAAAACAAATGTTAATTTTTGGGATTACTTTTTTTGTATTTTTCCAGAAAAAACAATAACATTTAAAAATGAACGGTTCTGTACCAACTGAAAATTCTATTCGAAACAAATTCATTTCTATGAGCTCGAGCATTAGTTGGCGAGATAATTGGAAGTCAAATGCGAAAAAAACTGCATTTTTCCATTTTTTCTTCGTTTTTTTGTGTATAGCAATATGTTCCGGGAGAATCCGGGCAGGGAACTACTTAGAATACACTTGGTTTCGTTGTGTGAAATGCCAACATCCAGTTTAGAATACTTTTGGAGCTAATTGGCTGGACTATGTTGACCCTACACATTGACATAAAATAAATAAAGTTCGTTAAGTGCTCCCTTTTGTGATGGTATTATCACAGATCATGGTATAATAAAAATCACATATACATATAGGTAGGCAAGGCCGTGCGAGGGGGAGGGGCGAGGCGGGGCCCAAGCCCTGGACGCCAAGTCTGGGGGGCGCTGAAGTGAAGTCGCCCGTCGTCGCCTTCGTCGGGACTCGGGAGCGTCAAAGGCGTGAGTGAAAGATTTACCTCGAATTATATAAACGAATCCGTACATACTCTTGTTTCGTATTTTATAAATTCAGAATCAATAAAATTTAAAAATTAAAAACTGTCGCGTTTATAAAGTCGCCGGTAATTCCATGGAGTTAGGAAATCAAACAAAAGCGCCTGCATTTGCCATGTTTGATCTCAAATTGCCATGGCACCACTGATTTTCTTAAAAGCGCCAGTTTTTAGTTATCCAATTTCTTGGATTCAAAGTTCAGAAAATTAAATTTTTTTCCCTACAAAAAACCTAAATAGACTTTCTCTCTAAAATAATTAGAGAAGTCAATAATCAGAAATGAAAAAATTACTATTGCAATTCCTATGGTGCGTTGTTCAAGTCACCACCCGGTATAATAATATATTTATTATGGAAAAACAAAAATTATGTTTATTATTCTAATAAAATCTTTCCTTGTCCAACCTCATAATTTTATATGTGGAGGCCAAATTTAGTTTCCGCCCTTGTATAACCAAATTCGCCCCATCAATTTTTTAAATGTTTGGAAAAGAGAAAAATGAAGAATTAAAATGTATCCTTTTCATGTAATTTATGATGTTATACAAGTGAGCGGTGAGCGCTTATCTTATCTACGTAAAGGCCGGCGTTGAAGCCGAGGAAGTAAGGTTTGAGTATATGTATTTTATTTTTACAAAAATGACTCCATCTATTACACACTTTTACCACACACAACAGTTTTCTGTGCGTGTACCACATTTTACAACAAATTATTTCGACTGCTTCAAGGTAGACAACACACTAACCGTACTCTATTAGGTGTTGCGTTTATTTCTATAGCATTGCATTGACCGTCTGTAGTATATGTTGTCTGTGATATGAGAAACCGAAAACGCATATTGTTTTCGCGTGCACAATCGTACCTTTATTTGTTCGCCAAGTTTGTACGAACCATGTGCGAACGTGGAAGTGGTGTTTCAACATTCTGTTCCAAGTTCGAAGACATGGTGTTAATTCAAAGTTCGATGGAATGAATGCACGTGGAAGGCCTACTTAAGGTGTCTAACGTACGTATCACTCATTCAATCTAACTTAGAATGTGAAATCGAAAACATTATTGTTGTAGGGAATATCCCGTATCTTATCGTTGGTTGTTTGAATCAGGAAAATTTCAACGCACTTAATTTGCGTATTATTTTCTTTCAGAAAGAAAGTGTTGAACCAGCAAAACTGGCAATAGATAGACCAAGTGAAAAACTATTGTCCTTTATGACCAAACATTATGGTTTAGAGGCTCCCATGCGGCAAATGAATAACTACGTTGTCTTTGATGGATTTTTCCCAGAGGTTGGATCTGCAGATGTCAATGGCGATACTCCAGAAAAGTAAGTAGCTAACAATGTGGCGAATGCCACATAAATATATAATTACCTACTACATTTGCTAATATTTAACCATGGTGACAGTGGAACTAAACAAGCAGCAAATGGGCTACAGACATATACCGGACCTTTGGGGAGATATGGGGCGCCCAGGCCACCTTGTAGCATGGGGCAGGTAATTAACTTCCATAAAACTGTAACCAATGTAACACACTAAATTGGGCTTATCTTTCAGATAATACATAATCAATCATCAATACAGTCAACTGAAACGGCAGGGTAAGTATCAGAGTAAATTGTGCTTGTGCATGCACTAAGGGTGTGATTCTAAATAGTGCTAATGCGCCCGCATCACCAGCCGATACTACTAACCCAGTCCAATCTCCTATTGAACAGTCATACAGGTAATTATTTTAGCATGAGTTTTTATCTCTAGGTATAATCATTTAGTGACGTTCCTGCTCCAACTACTCCCTCCAATATTGCGTATCAGCAACCTCAAGCACAAGTTGATCCCCAAGCTCATTTTTATCAGCAACCTAATGTCTATCACCCTTACCCTCAATCACACACTTTCAACCCACATCCAGTGTATTCTCAACCACAAATGTACAATTTACAACCATCATATAGTCCCACAAACTTGCAGCCCTATCAGCCTGCATCCCTTCCTGCGCTTTATGCACCCTTACAGCCTCAACCACCCCCGCATACACCCGTTTATTCGCCGTATGTCCCACCACAAGTCTATCTCCCTCCTCCTTCGGCAACATATTTACCTCCCCAAGCCTCTTACACAGCACCAGCTCAACCAACTGTATACCAAGCGCCCGAGCCGCAAATCTATCCCCCACCGATTGCCCCAGTCCAATATCCTTCTACCATTTCGCAACCGAGTCAGCACTACCTGCCACCAGTTTGTACTCCAATTGTACCTCAACCCTCATCCGCTGTCGAACCGGTTATTGCACATCCCACACCTCCAGATAAGACACCATCACAACCTCAACAAACTACCCAAGCGCAAGAAGCTCAACCTTGTCAGCAGTCATTCAGCACGGTTTCCTTAACAAACGGGTACCCATCACAAACTCCTCCCGCTCCCAGATCCAGCTTCGTCACGACTCAACCGTACAAATATTACGACAGGTATAAGCGTTACATCCAGAATACGGTGAGTGCACTTTTTGTTTTAGCACGCAGCAGGTTATGCAAACTGAGTACATTGATTCCAAAGTTGCTCATTCATCTCCTGCAGGGTAAGTATTACTAGCCTTAGATAGCAGATCCTTTTTTATGTAAATTCAAAAATATAATATTACACAAACACTTCTCTGAACACCAAACAAAACCTTTTGTTAAATTCATAAATATAATTAACAAATTTCAGAATGAAAAAAAAACAAAAAAACAAAAAAATTAAATTTAATAACAAAATAATCCTGCAAATTACCAATAATAATTAAAATCACTTAAACCGCCGACCGTAATGCAGATGTGTTATATAGTACATCTGCCAATTCTATCGTTCTCCTATTAGTTTCGCTTCCCACCGTTCAAACTACCAAATCTTACTATGCAACGGACACGTAGACCACTGCGATAATGCCTGCTATTACCTTTTGCGCAATTCTCTGATAAGCCAACAATAAATTTAATTTTTACCTAGGTATACATTCTAAATTCGGCCCTTTTGCAAGTGTTGGTCACTTTTTCGATTTTAGTCTCGGTGTGTTTCTCCAATTTAATTTTGTTTTCTTGTTCCAAATTTTCGTTCATTCTTTTCATCTGTTTCCGTTACAACTTCCGCTTTTAAGGTTAAGCTTTTCCACAGATATCATTTACACACCCATAATAATTCCAAGTTCCTTTTATGCATACAAAAAACCTTTGAAAAACACTTTCTTTTACCACTTAAACGCAGCAGCTTTTTCCACTGTCTATTCCTCCCAAAATAGTATGCTAGAATCGACTCGTAGACCACTGCAAGAAAGCTCATTATTCCTTAGGCGGGTTTTCACACTGGTGTGTCCGAATTATCAGACATCGTTTTCTTGTCTAATGAAATGTTATGAAATATGTAGGTATGTTCTTTGCATTGTGTCTTATGACTCACGTCTGATGCCTGACCGTGGATACTGAGAAAGAGAAGGACGCAGCGTGACAGCTGCTCGTGATGTAGGCATCGATGTATAGAGTGCGCATGCGTGCTCTCATATGATAGAAGCAGACACAAATATTATATATTAATTATGGGTAGTCTTGACTTAATTTTTTTAGCAACCCATTTGCAATGTGTTTGTTGACATATCAAGATTGCTAAAAAATGTATTTCACTCAGTAAAAAATGGGAGAAAATCGACCTTATGTGGGACCTTACATCTTATACTATAAAATGAGACGCTTATTGTTTGTTTTACTGCTTTATTCCATCTATGATCTATGTGGAGCTCCCCAATTGTTTAAATGCGCGTTTTTCTAATAAATCCCGGATAATTTAATTTGTGTCTCATTCTGACCCCCGTCCAAGATATGTAATCGATAAAACAAACTTTTTAATTAAACCACATGATGATTATACTTAGAGTTCGGAACACTAACAAGCTTTTTAACTTATTAGAGACACGCTGGTTACAAATGAGCAGTCTCCGCAAGGACATTTGTAAGTTGGCAGTTTAAATTTTTATTTAATATTCATAAGCCATTTTTAGAAGACCTGCACCTTACACACAGAGGTTAGTATATCTTTAATAATTAGTAATTAATAGACATACCACAACAGCTCAAGCCCAGGCCAAAGTGGAGACTATCAACAGCAACCAGTAAAGTATGTTACCTTATGATGATCCAATTGCTAATATCCTCTCCTTCTCCTAGTGTGACTCCTACTCAAGATCAGTCAGGTCAACTGTTGTGTCAAAGCACGCCCCTTCAGATCCAGCTGCCGGGTACGTAATCCCCCTTAATTTGTCGTATCTAAGATTTGATCATCAATTGACCTGATGTATCTTGATCACGTTTCTCTTTTGTTGACTAATTTTAACTTATTTTACGCTTCCGTTAACTAAATCTTAGACTTTTTGGTTTTTTAATTTCGTTTTGTTTATTTATTCGTTTTCCACCCGCAGGCCCCAAATAGCATCCCAATAAGTTATAAGTTACTTAGAGAATCAAATATTCCAGTGATACTAGAAAATCCCTTGAGGAGTCTGTTAGTCAATCGCCAAAATTGGAGCGTCCCCGTTCTTTAGTTATACAACGCACCGAAGATATAATCGATGTCTTAGATCAGCAAATTATAAGGAATGTCGAAAGTGAGGTACATTTCGACGATGTTGTCGATTACCAAAACGACGAGGTTGACGAAATCAAGGAGGAAGAAGTGGCTGCTAGTAAACATGTTCATCCTCTAACTGATACGGATCCGCCTAGCTTAGGCAGCGAAAATTCTGAGAACCGGGGTAAATCACCAAACTCGTTGACCGCTCAGGGTTTCTTTGATCTTAAATTTTATCACTCTCGTCTGTGGTAAAAGGCATATCATTCCCAGCTGTGCTATACATAAGTGATTAACCATTATTTACGTGTTTGTACCTTTGATACTTGTGCAGCTATTCTTTGTGTGATTGAAATGTACCTTGCTTTCGCTTAAGTTTTAGTTCAATTTTACAAAAGACATTTTTATCTACTTGTACATACTATTTATACATATTTATATTTGTTTATATCTAACTGTTTATTAAATTTTAAAGTACAGTTGCACACCTTTTTAGTTAGTAATATTAGGGCTGGGAACTGCGATAGGTAATCGATTTTTTCTGTCTATCATATTTATTTCAGAATATTGCAGGAATATTCTAAATGTTCATATTTCCATGTTTCACATCAAATGCTTCCGAATATTTAAGGGATATTGCAGAAAAACTATTTGAATACTGTATAAACGTTCTGTACATATTAGAATATTTTGTAACTAAACTGCCAGGAGAAAATTCTGTACAAATTATTTGAAAAACTTCTTTTTGGGGTAACGCATGAATATCCCATGTAGCTTTAAGTAACATTCCTATATGTCAAAATATTCAATGGGACTATTCCAAGCATATTCTAATTTAGTGCAATTTACTGTATTGTAAATAAAAACATCTGAACATACATTAACATGTCAATTTGTTCATGAATATTAGCATTGGTGTTTAGCCTTGCCGACTCACTTTTGTATACTACTTTTCGCTTCTTGGCACATCGTTTGCTCCATACTTTTATCCAAAAATACCTTCTTCTGTAAAAAGTGTTTGAAATGTAAACAGAATCACATTAGTAACACTATCAGTATTGGAGAGACTGCATGATTTTCATTTCAAAATTAAAAATGTCTAAACATCCAAGTAAAATACACCTTGAAAATTTTATACCTGGAACATCATCGAAGTATTACGGAATATTCAACTTGGAACACTGAACTATAATCATACTGGACCGCGCGCCAAAGTGATCCGAGTGAGAGAGCCACAAGGTGGATCTCTGTCCTACTCTACTACAGAAATCCCCCTTGCACTATCTTTCACGATGCGCTACGCTTTTTGAATAGTCTGATTATTAAAAAATTAAATAAAATTATTCAGTCCCAGCCCTAGTTAGTGTAATACAGAGGCATCGCTTACATGTAATAGTTATTTAATGTACTAATTAATGTTAGTCAATCTGCAGGTCAGTAAAACGTAGATTTTTGTTGTGTTGGTGTATTTAGTATTTTTATATTTCTCCATTGTTTGCACATTGCTCATTTTGTCAATTTTTATTTCAACCATTTTTAAATTTTAGCAATTAGTGTTTTTTATCACCAGTTACACTAACACTCTCAATTAATTATGGAACAAATGTCCTTATTTCTACTGACCTAAAGAGATGCGACTAGGCAGGCTGAGTTATGAAAGTCATTTTATGTCCAAACTACATGGCCAAATGCAGTTTGTTGAATCACGTAAATGTTTCACTTTGCAGTTTATAATTAAATCAAACCTAAAATGATAAGGTTACCATTAAGTGTGTACGTATGAATTGCAGCTGATAGCTTTAAATTGTTATATTTTTATATTTATTTGCTATTGTTAACCAAACGCAATAAATTATATACTTAGGTTCTATACCAAAATCCTAGTCTAAAAGTATTCTTGATTACTTGGTAGAAAATGCGCATGTTAGATTGTGATTATTATCCATAGTTTTTTTATTAAATTATGTAGGAATATGGGATAGGGATAAGGTAATTAATACTATCTGAAATGTTGCGACCTGATATGGTGCTCTCACCTACTACACTGACAATGCACAGAAATAAAAATGTCACAAAGTATTAAATTTAAGTTTCATGTTATAATAAGTAGGTATGTCTGTTGTGAGTGTTCGTAATATGGCATTTTTTAACGCGAGGATGTACTATTTTAGTTGAGTAAAATTTGTAACTGTAAGTATATTGTTTTTTCCCAAGAAGAAAGTAATTTTTTCTCATTCGCTATGAAACGAATTCTTACAAACATAATAAAAGTATGCGAAATTGTTCAGCAGTAGGTATATTTTGGCTATTCCATTTCTTGACAAAATTTTCCAAGAAGTCGGATAGTGAGGAGCTCCCATTTTCACTAATTAAAATGTCACAAGTTTTATACATTCATTTTCCATATGTATCCTTTTAAATAGACCACATCAAAACATTACACGTTTATATCAGAGTTTAGAGAACTTAGGGAGCACTCTGACCAGGTCAATGTCACTTAACTAAAAAAGCTTGAAGCACATTTGTCCAGACGGAATCGGCCCGAACCGGACAACAAAAATTCGGAGTCTGGTTGTCCATTCTGGTTCAAAATGGGGTTTCAATTATTAAATATAGTATATTAAGATACAAGTGTATAATCAAGTCTTTAAAGCACGCGCAACGAGTTTAAGGGCACGACGCAAAGCGGAGTGCCTTTAACGTTGCAAGTGCTTTAAAGACCAATTATACACGTGTATCTTATAGTATTTTTTATTATACCTGCAGTATAATTTAAAAATAGGAAATACAATGAAGTCATATTGACGTTATACTCGAATACATGTCTAATTAAGTGGGCTGGGTGTTCGTAATTTCACGATTGCCAAGGAAATGTCACTTGACGTTTGCTTATAAAAATCATCGTCTTTGTGAACCAAACGATTTCCGTTGAAAAAGATAATACACCGTCCATTAAATCGATTGTTGTAAAATCTAAACAAACGTTGGTAGGTGTAAAATCCAACTCCAGTAAAGCCTATTATAAAGAATATGAAAAGTTGTTTCCATGGATGGAATAGGAAGTTACTTACGAATAAAGTCTTAAATGCATCCATAATGCTGGCATATATGAAGGAAATGTCAAAGGTATTTAAATCTTCCATATTTTGGTGCATTAATTCAAAACTTTAAAGCAATGCTGCGATTAAAAAGTGGAACAGATTTGGAAGCATACCCTAAATTACGCGCGTTTGTGAAAGCTTCAACCAAAGGATAGGTACAAAAGCCAAAGAAATGTTCTGCATTTACAGAAAGCGACCTAAGAGGATTTTTTATTTCACCCAGATGACAGTTTAAAAAGTCATACTTGAAGTATCGTTACTTAGCAACTTTAAAGCACGTGTGTTTTAAAGGCCCTTTTTCGCACGCATTTGAGTGTTTAAAACGGAGATTGTGATTCAGGTATAATAAAAAACTGATTATACCTACCTTCCCCATGTAATTTAATAATAGTTGTCTATTACAGGGTTTCTCAACGGGGGCAATGACATATTTCTTGGGGGCCACAAACGAAAGACAGAATATTGGTAGGCCACGAAAATTCACGTCTACAATATCTTGCAGAAATATTAGAATTAAATAAATTTACCAATAATGCTCAGCACAACAATTATACCACAATAACCCCCTACCCTTGTTTGTGATATCTCAGTGTACCTTTCCTAGAAAGCAATAACCTCGGTCCCCTACTGTTCTTAATCTTCATAAATGATTTGCCTTCTCTACTTTCCTGTAACACCTTATTATTCGCTGACGATTTAAAGATTTTTACATCCATTTATAGTAGTGATGATTGCGTTTACCTCCAAACACAAATAAATAAACTTGGTGAATGGTGTTCAAAAAACAACCTTCACTTAAACATGTCTAAATGCAAAGTAGTTTCGTTTTCAAGAAAATCTCAACCTCTTTTACATCCTTATCAATTTAATGATATTCAGTTTAAACGATGTACATCGGTCACGGATTTGGGTATTATATTTGATCTTAAACTTTCCTTTTCTGAACATATATCGGTGACTATTGCCTCTGCTTTAACAAGTTAAAAAGTAATCGTAAACGATTTACATAAAGCGCGCATTTCCACTTGCATTCATTTCCCATTTGTAAGATGCAACTTCTGTTAAAATCGTAAAAATCCGGCCACAAATATGAAAGATAGCGTTGCACATGGGCAATCCATTTTTGACGTGCTACTTCAATTTCAGTTTATGAGAAGAATTTCATTTCAATGCTTTTCTAAATAAGAAAGTTGGAACTGCGCATGCGCAAACCTAAATTTTAAAACTAATGTTAGATTTTCCTTTGTTGCAAGCGCCTAAGTATCAAATTGCACTTAAATAGTTCCATAGATAAAAAAGTTGGCACGGCGCATGCGCAAAATAAAATTTTGAAACTGGCGCTAGATTTTCCTTTATTCCAAGTGCCTATGTATCACATTTCATTTAAATTCTTCCATAAATAAAAAAGTTGGCACTGCGCATGCGCAAAACCAAATTTTGAAATTGGCGTTTGATTTTCCTTTATCCCAAGTGCCTATGGATAAATTTCGTTTAAATTCTTCCATAAATAAAAAAGTTGGCACTGCGCATGCGCAAAACCAAATTTTGAAATTGGCGTTTGATTTTCCTTTACCCAAGTGCCTATGTATCAAATTTCGTTTAAATTCTTCCATAAATAAAAAAGTTGGCACTGCGCATGCGCAAAACCAAATTTTAAAATTGGCGTTTGATTTTCCTTTATCCCAAGTGCCTATGTATCAAATTTCGTTTAAATTCTTCCATAAATAAAAAAATTGGCACTGCGCATGCGCAAAACCAAATTTTGAAATTGGCGCTTCATTTTCCTTTATTTCAAGTGCCTATGTATCAAATTTCATTCAAATACTTTTATAAGTAAAAAAAGTTTGCAATTCGGTTTATAAATGGTCGAGATGCGAAAAGGGCACTGTGAATTTTGAATCGATTTGATTCAACTTTTGGCATTGCGTATTATATGGCTAAATCTATG